CTTTCTTATGTTTACTATGCCACCATCCAAGTTGTTAACAAATGCATCAGAGTAGGCATATGACAGACTGCTAGCAGACCCACCTTGGTTTCTTCATCCTTTTGAGCAAGCTCCAAATCTTGAGGTGGAGGTGAAATATTAATTAGTTCTTTCAGTACTGATAATTGTTAATTGGGTTTGATTTCCTACTCAATTAGTCATTCACTTTGTAGTAGCAACTTCTTTGGCATGCTTTCTTAGCTGTTTAGTAAATGTGGTGTGTAGGGCAGTGTCAGACATCTGAAGAGTCAACATGCATTTTTTTCAATATTGATGACAGGAAAACAGCTTTACCCTCTACCTCTGAAACCAAACCCAGCATGACTTAAGCATTTTCCAACTCTGATGCAAAAAGTGTATTCCATACATGTTTGTTTCTTACGCTGTGTCAGAGCAAGTAGATAACTAGAAGACATCTATTTTAATGTAAATGAGAGGGCATCTCTGTTTGTAGCCTCCAACATACTGACATAAAATGATGTTCTCAGTAACATGTTGTATCCCACTATGATATTATTTCGTTAGTCTCAAAAACTTTTCTCCATCGTCTGTCATACACCTGTTTAAACAGAGCCCTAGGGAACATTCATCTTGGAAAAACAGTATTTTTATTATTATTATTATTATTATTTTCCAATTAACTGTTTCTTTACCTGTTTAAAGTTGAATGCAGTTTCCATATACATTTCCTGCTGCCTTTCAATTAGAATAATTGCATCCAGCTATTTGTTTTGTGAGAGATGAAAACAATTTTTACATTATTTTTTCATTAATATAAATGAAAACGTTCTTAGTATGTGGTCCATTAGCATGGAAATGAACAGGTTGTAGAGATAGCCAGATAAAGCCAAAAGCAGTAATTAAAGGCTAGCTAATATAAAATCATTGCTAGGTCCAGCTACTGAACTGATTAAAAAAACAATCAAAAAAAGCATGGATTTGCTCACAGCTGTTTTTCATTTAGGTCAGCACCACTCAGAAATTTCTTACATAAGCACTATCTGATGAAGTAGGGCTGCTTTAAAGTTGGGAATACCTTCAGTGGGAAGCCTCTATTAAATATGTTTTCACCTGAATCTGAGAGGTGTAAGGATGGCTTGGAAAGTGCAAAAATGGCTTTATGACCTATTTGACTACCTTCTGATATAAATAGTCAGGGGAAAAAAAAAAAAGCCTTTTTTTCCCTTTGGAAGATGCCTCTGAGGACCAGAGAACGGAAGGGTATCTCAGAATATAGTTCTCTCAAAAGAAAAGAGATTAAAATAATATTGTTAAAGTAATATTACTTTAAGCAAATGTAGAAATCGGATATGTAATTGAGAGGGTTTTAAAAATAAAATATTAAGAGCTGTCAGCTATAACAATCATATTTACATCAGTCAGAGGAATTTTATTTTTCAACTTAAAAAAAATTATCTGCTCTGATCCTTCCTGGTAGTAAGCAAGAGGCAAGAAATGCAGTATCTTAGACATCATAACACAACAGAACAAAACTGTCTCTTTTTAAGAGACACTGTTAGTATTTGATAAAGTGGGTTTGTTAAGTTATAAGTAAAATACTCTTTAAATGAGAAGATGTCTGTCCTGCAGTTTATGTTTATCTTATTGTGGTCAATACTTTTTGTTGTTTCCAGGGCATTGCTCAGATAAACCTGACTGATGCAGAGAGTTCTGGTGAGATGCAGCTTCACTGGTATACTGTTCAGATCTTCACTGGTTCAGACCCCCAGAGAGCAAAGAACAAAAAACAGTGTGAAGAAAATATTCCTCGGTCTTCTGGAAATGTAACTACAGTTAAAACAGTATGGCCCTGAAAAAGTGATTTGTTTACTTTATTTGACCTGCAGGGTGGTTGTTTGTGATCTTATCTCAGGTGCAGTTTGTTTTTGAGGTGCACAGAAAGTGATACCTTAATTTAGCTCTTGTGGTAAGAGCTGGATTTTAAAAGAATTATTAAAAGCTAAATCATTTCTGGACAGGTGCTTGAAATAGTGCTCTGTGTGTGTTTGTATCCACGTTTCTAGTCCAGCTAACTAAAACTCATTGAAAATTTCTGCCACTGCACTTCAAGAGGTTTACAAGAACGGTTGTGCAATTTCCATCCTTGGAGATCTTTCAGCCCTTGACTGGGCGCTGGGCAACCTTATGTGGCTATGAAGCTGTCCCTGCTCTGGGCAAGACATCAGACTAAGTGACCTCCAGAGGTCTCTTCTGACCTAACTTGCTGGATGATGCTCCACAGTGAGAGGAAGTCTGTGTGGTTTCTGTGAGAAATTGCATTTGTGGAACACCATGTACTTTTTGATCATCAAGTTTCAGGACAGGTTTGGGTTGGGGTTTTTTGTTGTTGTTTTTTGTTGTGTTTTTTTTTTTTAGGAACATACAATGGCTATGTGTTTATTTTGTTTTCTCTGAATAATATTCATTAAATACATTGGCTTGTTCAAATGGTTTTATTTGAAGTCTGGTTTAACTTTCAGGATGCAGTGACAGCCCTGTTAGCTAGGACCACCGCCCAGCTGGAAGCAGTTGAGAGAGAGTTGGCAGAAGAGAGAGTGAAACTGGAGTACACAGAGGAGGAAATCCTGGAGATGGAAAGAAAGGAAGATCAGGCAGAAGCTGTATCAGAAAGGTAAAAATAGTAGTTTAAATACCTCATCAAACAGCTGAGTGATATTTACCATGTGGGTATAGTCTGAAATACAGCAGGAGAAACAGCACATCCTTATTCTGAGATTTGCTCGCTGTTAGTGTTACAAGTATACAATTCTATTACTACATGATGATGTGCAAACAGAAGAAAATCTTACTTGAATAGCTTGCTGAGTTTAGAGGACTTGGAATTTGGGGAGTGGGAAAACATGTATCAAACATAAGCTTTGCTAGGGAGGCAACTATAATGGGATTGCGACAACATTGTACTAAAAAAAACGAAATTTTGTGGTGACATGGGAAAATGTCAAAGATAGATATGCACTGCAAGGCTTATGGAGTGAAGTAGGCAACACAGCTCTTAATATTTCAGAGTTTGTTACAATGCTCTTTCACCATTAATAATACGCCTGTTTTGTTATGAGTTGTGTTATTTTTGTTGTTGTTTCCTTATTGTTGTTATAAAGACTAGATCATATGCTTTAAGAAAATTAGGGAAGGTGATTTTTTGTGTGTGTGAAATGTATTTGCTTGTCTGCATCTGCAGAAATTCAAGCAGAGTATGTTCTCTCTTTGAAAATTCTGTATTTCTATTGGAAAAATAATACTCTAAAATGATAAACTGACCTGCATAATGAAATATATTAACGTGACGCATAATTGCATTCTCGTGATGTTCTGACTGCAGGAGTTGGCAAGCAGAATCTGTTGACAGTGGATGCAGTAATTGCACCCAGACTAGTCCTCCTTATCCAGAGCCATTTTGCGGGGATTCGTTAGCTGGGCACATGTTTTCAACTCAAGCGGGCCAGTACAGTTCTGGAAAAATGCAGCCTCCACCACTAAAGGTAACGAGAGAAGACTCTGCGGTAGGGAAACTGCCACGCTGCCTGGCACACAGGGCGTGTTAACTGCTGCTCCTTGAGTTTGAGTCCAAATTGATCAGGAGAGAAAAGAGTCAGAAATTACTTTAACAACCTTGTCTGAGCACTGCCTTCATGACAACGGTGTGCCTTTTGAGTTGTTAAAAATGCCCTCTTTAGGGCTAACTGTTTTTGTGTGCTTACTAGTTATTTCGGAACAGAATTATTTTTTTATATCAAAAGACAAACTATTTTTACTGTGGCCTTTATCTAAACTGTAAATATGCATTCATATCAATGTCTTCATTGACCTGAAATTGTAACAGAAAAGATTATGATCAAATTCCAGTGCTCTTAGAAATAAGAATTTTGGAAGGAACTGTGAACAAAGAAGCTTAAAATATTAAGACTTGCGTTGCTGTTTCAGTGTTACAATAAATACAGCTGGAATTTTCAGAACAATGGTGCTGAAAATTATGTTTTTAAAATCTTTTGTATTCAAGATATGAGACATTGAAAATAATCCTAAATAAGCTGAAAACAGCTTATTTCCATTGAAGCAGAGGAACATAATCCGTTTGCATTGCCTTTAGGAAAGATCATACCTCCTGTTGAGGAGCAAGTTATCTTAAAGTTTGGAAGCTTTGCCAGAGTAGCATATGCTTTTCTGAATATTTTAGTGTTCTTGTATCATTGTTTCAGCAGTCTTTCAGTTCCCTTTTGTTGAGTTTCTTCTCTTCATTTGACTTCCTCTAGTTTTAAGGTCATTACTTGCTTCAGAGTCACCTTGCTTCCTGAGAGGTGACTCAGTTTTCTCCTGTTGAGGCTGGAGATCAAGTGGTAGCTTGGTTAGTGCCCAGTTGCCAATGCTGAATGCAGTCTTTGTGCTCTGCAGCTATGATTCACTTTATAACTGCATCTCATAATTGTTACTGTTCCAGCAAAGGCTTCTGAAAGGTAATCTTATATTTTGAATGACCTAGTTTTAAAACCTTTTAAAAAATGGGGTGGTTGATCCTCTGTTCTCAATGCTCATTAAAACTTGAACCTAGCTAGCAGGGCAGATTGTTTACTTTTTATACTGTTGAAATGTGCGATTGTTTTTGGTGAGAGAGAGAAAATAAGGAAAAAATAAAAGTTTTTCCTTAATTGAAATTCTAGGTGGATAAGGAAACTAACACTGAGGATCTGTTTCCTGAAGAAGTTGCTATTCTTCCAAAAGAGAGAACCAGCCGCAGGCCACGGGGTTCTGCTTTTGTTCGCAGCAGCACTATTGTTCGTTCCCAGACCTTCTCGCCTGGAGCACGGAGTCAATATGTTTGCAGAGTGAGTAAGGCTTAAAAAGGAGGTGGGGGAGTGGGGGAGGGACCTCCACAAAAGTATTTTCTGTGTTTTTTTATAATTTCTTCTTAAGACTTTATTATGTTTATAAGAAAAAACATATACTACTTTTTAATACTAATGAGTAATCTTTCACTGAATTTAAACATTTCAGTGGGGAAAAGGTCTCTTGTTTATTTTAAGAGTTTAAACCTGAGTTTATTTTGTTTAAAATTTAAGAATCTATGACAAATTAGATATTAAGCTCTTTTCCCTGGCAACCTTAGATTTTAGTCTAGGGTGATTGATTTTACAGAGGTACAGTGCTGCCAATGAGTGTATAAACAGCTTAGAAGCCATGTTTAACTTTCAGGCACCTAAAACTTTAGGAAAAGGGACTGAATGCACAATCTTAGGGTTATTGCATAAATTACGGCTCTGGTTGCTGTCATGAATGTCAGTCACAGGATGCCCGTTAGAGTGAGACCCAGGATTCCTGCGTGCACTGGTGCAAGTAAGTGAGGATCAACAGAACAGTTTTCAAGCTCGTATTAGCTGGATGCTATATTAAATGGAAAAAGGCTTATAAGCAGTTAGCTCACAGTATTGCAGATGACAGAGTCACAGAATGGTAGGGGTTAGAAGGGACCTCAGGAGATCATCTAGTCCAAACCCCCCTGCCAAAGCAGGTTCACCTAGAGCAAGTTGCACAGGACTGCATCCAGGTGGGTTTTGAACATCTCCAGAGGAGACTACACAACCTCTCTGGGCAGCCTGTTCCAGTGCTCCGTCACCCTCACAGGAAATAAGTTTTTCCTCATCAGTACATGGGTATTGATTTTGCAATATTGGTGGAACTCACCTAGCTTTAATTGCTATTGCTATTGAGCTTTTGAGAGCTTGAGTTTGAAAATGCAGTAATGATTTTTAACTTTTATGTTTTTTCCTAAACCAAGGATATTCTTGGTTTTGCTCTTATTTACATTGCACGCAGTGCATCTATGGACCCCTTCAAATTCTTCAGTTTGATTTCTAGATTCCATATCTCTGTATAATATAGAGAACACGAGTAAAACACCCTAACACACCAGAACCAAGACAGTGCAGACACCCTCACTTAATCTGCATTTACTTAAAATCGGAGGAGGAAAAGAAGCGGGAGTCTGTATTGTTTGTGCCCATGACAGTAAATATTTTAGGATGAAACATTACTGCCTTTAACTCCCTCTTCCTCCCTTTTTTTTTGTTTACATTGTCTTGGATATTTAGTAGAATGCTTGATGAAACTTATCTGTAAAACATGGATGGTTTTGAAGATTTCTTGAATTATTGTAACCATACAGTATGAGCACTATTATATATAAATTTTTATAAATAACTAAAGCTGAAAAAAAATCAGTTGTTTAAAACAAGACAGTTTCAGTGCATTTTTAAAAATAAATCTCAAAAGCAAAAGACTAATAATCCATATTTCTTAATGTAGACAACCTTGTAAGCAACCTGTATTTTCAATATCTATTCTAATCAGCTGTATCGCAGTGACAGTGACAGTTCAACTCTGCCAAGGAAGTCCCCTTTCGTCCGGAATACATTGGAGAGGCGTACTCTGCGGTATAAGCAGGTATACCTAGGAAACTGGTTTTTACTTTTCACTAAATTACTAGAACACTAGTACTTTTATACCTGAGTTTTAAACATCTACAGATACATTCTGATGTTTGTAGGAAATGTATAAGGCTTCCGTAATGTAATTGGGAGGGAGGTGCGTGTTTTGGGTTTGGTTTGGGTTTTTTAAGCTACAAGGTAGACACAGAAGTGAAATATATGTTGTTGAAACAATTATTGAGAAGGAAAATATATTTTGTTGAAACAATTACTGAGAAGGAAAAAAAGGTGTGTCAGACAAAAATTGATTTAATGGGCACTGAATTTGTATTGATTTAGATGTAAATTTTGTTAAATTGTTAAAAGTTTATGATACAGGTGCAGGCCCAGAGAAGCATGTGTGAATGTGACAGTAAAACATCCTCCCATGCAGCCTAGCATTCCATAGTATTTGAGACCCCAGTATTCAGGAATTAATAGGCTAAGTTCTCCTTTTGCCCCCATGCCACCCCACATGCTGCAGACCAAGTGGGCAGAGAAGGGCAGGTAAGGCACTAATGCCTTGTATATAAATTGCCTACAGCTTAGCCTGGTTAGCAGAAGTTAATTTCTTGCTGGTATAGGCAAGTAGGCAGCCACGCTTCCTATTTTGGTTCAGAATGTACCTTAAGACCAGTAATAAAATAAAGCCCTTTAAGGGGAATCTTGCTCAGTACAGTATTCTCTGATGTCATGACTCTCTTATGAGTTCTTCACATTGCATCCCTTTTATTATGATCATAATGTGAAAGTTTAGGCCATAAACTTAAATTAGTTAAATATTTGTAAGCCAAAAGGAGACTATAAAAGGAAGTAGTAGAAAGCATTAATTGAGAAAGTTTACATATGGTACAGAAAACCCTTACAGCTAGTTAGTTTTTCACTGTGGGATATAAATAATCTCTCCAAAACTTCATGTCAAGAAAGACTTTGTGTGAAGTCAGTACAGAAAATGTGTGCTCTATATAGCTGAAGAGAGACCAGTATACCAGGTTGAGAGTAATATATTGTGCATTTTATTTGAATCCTAATAACTCAGCAGTCCTGCAGATCATCTTTGGCTGAGATTATGGCAAGGACATCCTTAGACCTGGAGCTGGATCTCCAGGCATCCAGAACTAGACAGAGACAGCTGAACGAGGAGATATGTGTTTTAAGAGAGTTGAGACAGCGTCTGGAAGATGCCCAGCTCAGAGGGCAGACAGATCTACCCCACTGGGTCCTTCGGGACGAGCGATTCCGAAACTTGCTGAAGGAAGCGGAAAGGCAGGTATGGTAACACGAGACGAGCGCTCAACGTGTTCAGAACCTTCTGGGTTCAAAATTCCTTGATTGTGACAAGAGGTCTAAAGAGCTGTTTTTACAGAACTTCAAACAATGAATGTTGCTTCTATATTCTTGAAGTTAGCACAATAAAAAATATTTCATTGATTATTACTAAACTGTGTATTTATTTGAGGACAATTGCTGGAGAATGGCACTATTTGCCAGTGGCACACTTTGGTTTGGGATTTTTTTGTTTTAGATATTTGTCATTGGAACTTTAAGAATTTTCTTACTTCTGATCTTTGAAAGAAATTTTGCTGATTTGATATTTAATTTTTTACATCTTTTACATATTTTTTACAAATATTTGGAATGTTCACCAAGTATGTGATTTTTTTCCCTGCTCCTGGAGAAAGAAGTTACAGGCAAAAAGTGGCAAACACAGCACAACAAACAAGTGTCATTGGATTATCAGAGACAAAGAGTGAGCCTAAATTTATTTTAATGTCTTGCTTGAAAGATCTATGTGCAGTAAATTTCATGAATTTAATACATATCTGTCTGAAGAGCATTAACAAATGAAACAACACTGTCAGTCTTTGAATTTATAGTTCTTAGATCATCAGCTATTTCAGACAATGTACTTGTGTGGTTCTACTGTGGTGAGTGGGGAAAAAAAAAATCCATTATTTTAACCTGGGTATTCATATGTTTTATTTATTCACATAACCATTTTAAGCATTATGTTCTTGTTTTCAGACGAGACAGACCAAATTTGAACATCACCAAGAGCAAGCAGCAGAAAAGATGCTAAAGAAAGCATCAAAAGAAATATACCAGTTGCGTGGGCAAAATCAGAAGGAACCTATTCAGGTGCAGACTTTTAGGTAAGTGGTACTGTGTGCTGAAATAGTGTAGCATCAGTTCATTAGGGAGGTTAAGGCTCTCTGAAGCATTTTGCTTAAATTCTGTGTGTCTTCTGTATAGCCAGTAGTTTTTAACTGTATATTGATTTGGACACATGAGTTTCCTTTGAATTATTTGTAGTGCAGAGAGCCAAAGCTAAGGTAAAATTATGGTGTTACAATTCTAAAAACACATGAAATTTAAAAAAATAAATCTTTAAGTAATATTCTTTCAACTTAGTCTAGTCACCATTAAGTTCAAGTGATTTGTCAATTCTTCAATGCAAACTAATAAATATAGTTTGCATAAATAGTTTGTTTGATGTAACAAACATAAATAGTTTGTTTGATGTAATTACATTACTAGTAAAACTCTCTCCCTAAAAATTACACAGTAATATTCTAGCTTTCTCTCAAGAAACCTTTACTTTGGACTTTTTTTTCCTATTTTATTTGTGTTCACATGGTATGTGTTCTCTCTTAGCTTTATTTTTTTTCCTGACAGTTTGTTTGGTGTACAAGTGACATTGATAAACAATGTGCATTTCACAGGAAGACTTTTTTACTTCAGCGCTAAAATTTTTAAAATTTTTATTGGGAGAGCAGCAGTAAGAGTAAGAAAATGTTAGTGCAGAATAGATGTGGAGGACAGCTCAGATACAATGTTGCAGCATACTATTTCATCCAGTGTTTAGATTTTTAGAGCTTTTTGCAGTGGATACTTAAGTGAAATAGAAAAGCTGGCTGTCCTTTAATATTTTTTTCACTTGTATTATATTGAAAGGATTGTTCACACAAAGGTAGGGAGGAAGTAAGAGGAATAGAAATTTTAGGGTTGTTTTTACATCTTAAGTTTCTGGTAATAAAAGGTGGGTGTTAATGTTTTGTCTACTGAGATATAAAAAGGTATGGGGAATTTATTAAAATGAGAAGTAGAAAATTAAGCAAAAGCTGTCTTCCTTGTTTAAATTCTTGCCCTTTTTATGCACACATCCATTTCTTATGACACTTACTTTGCAGCATGTAATGTTTGCTCAATAAAGAAGCAAAAAGATGACTCTGAATGCTGTCTTTTTTTTTCATTTTTTTGGGTAGGTATTGTTACAATATGTGCAAGGGTGAACTTTGCATTGCAGAAGGGGCTTATGCAGGACTTTGCCTGTGAAACCTTTTTTCCAGTCAGCTATGACTGATGTTCACTGAGTTGTATAATGCTTCCACCTAAATTTTCAAAAATAGTTATTGTGTTCAACAGAATGTTGCCAAAAGTATAGAGTGAGGTTTAATAGTTTTGGTAAGTCTCTTGTACTCAAATAAACCATCAGTTCAGTATGTAACAAATATTAACCACTAATCAGAGTAAAGAAACCATGTTCTTGGGGGCGGGGAATGTAGGCATATGTTTGATTGATTTCCTTTTATCTTATATTGATCACAGAGAGAAGATAGCTTTTTTTACAAGACCAAGGATTAACATACCTCCTCTGCCAGCTGATGATGTATGACATGTTGCATTGTAAACATGAAGTATTTATCGCTTTTATTTTAATGAAGTTATTAGATTAGCCAAGTTTCTTTTAAAAAAAAAATTGTGCAAAAGCTAATATACACATTTTGTAAAAAATAAAAAAGTAAAAAAAGTAAACAAAAACATATATATAAATATATATACATATATATTTTATAATAACGACTGCAACAAGGCTTGGTTTTTCCTTGTTGTGAAACTGACATCTCTGAAGACAAGTTATTTTATAAAAGATCGACTATCCTGTTAAGAGCGTGTACAGTTTTTATGCTGTTTTATTTGACTTAAAGGCTGGAAGACAGAAACAAAGTGAGTTCAGGCAAATTCACTGTAGTGTAATTTATTTATAGTGCCTTTTTTCCTTGAAGGAAAATACTTACTTTAAGATGTATTTTAAGACTGAAATTTTGTTCTTCAGTATTTGTCATACAGTAGAATGGAACCATTGAGCTGGTTTTGTTTCTGATACCTGAAATGAAAATACTATGTTCTAAAATTGTCACTTTTTTCAGCTTTATTATCTGTAGCTTATTATGTACATCATATCCTTTAGCACTCTCTGTGTTATAGCAAAATATTATCACCTGCAATGTGTTTAACACTGATTAGAAGTGATGTTAAACTTTGCAGTATTCATTTGCATGTTCTTACTGTGCACTAATAGATTGTTTTCATTTCAGTTGTGTCTAAAGTATCTTTATATTCTTAACTAGATTCTCAGTTTAAACGGAGGAAGGAAAAGGGTGACAGGTCTTTGTTTTGCTGTTTAATGAAAAGGGAGCAACGTGAGCTAGCTGTGTGGAAAGACCGCTAAAGGAATGTTAGAGCAATTTCTACAGGTTTAGAGATTCTGATCTGATTCAGGAAAGTACGTATGTGCTGATTTCAGAAAGCAGCTGCATTAAGCGAGGGTGCCTAAACACATGTTCATCCTAAAGGATGTGCTTTGAGGTTACTGCCTGCAAGTTCCCTTGAACAGTGACACTTCCCAGGAGGAAGGTGTATAATTCTGGAAGGTACAGCTCACTTGATTGCTAGATGACCAGCTAAAATCCAGTTAGAAATAGTTTTGCTTGTGACTGTTTAATTTAATGAAAGACCGTCACCCTAAATTCCCGAGAATGCCAGTTTTGTGTCCTTGCATCCTGCAAGTATGTAAAAATGTTTCTTTACTAAGCTACTATAATAGAGTTTCTCATATTTTTCTAATTATACATTACCTACAAAGAGAGGTGCCCAACACAAGACTGACTTTGCAAATTGCTGGAATCTCCTAGAAGGAAAATTGTGCTGTCTCTTAATTAAAGTAAAGGTCAAATTGCTTCCAGATTTTTATATGTAAGGAAATCAAAACAACAACAGCCAAAAACTAAATGGACTTAGCAGAACCAGTCAGAATATTTTCAAATATTTTGTAAGTAAGTGTTTTTTGTGAGTTTCAAGAGCTTGTACTCTGTTACCTTGTCAAAAATCAGGAAAACCTGAAAGTGAAACTGAATCGCTTTTACTTGTCCAAACTGAGGTAAAAAGTAATCGGAGAAAAGATTGTAAACCTAAATCATTAATCAGTAGGGATGGTTAATGCAGACATTTAATTTTAAGGCAGTATTCCTTGTTTGCTGGTATGGCCTATAATTATTACAGACATCAAGTGATTCAATCATATAGCAATATATGTGAAATTAAAGTCTGTTTTGCATTTCTCAGGCTTACCATCCTGAAGTCTGTTTTTACCAGTAAGCTTCGGTGGGTGTATATTGGGTTCCCTGGGTGCAACTAGACATACTGAGAAACTATGCAGATGAAAACCAAATCATGTAAGAAATTTGTAGTGTTTGGGTAAAAATCTAGGGACAGCAAGCTTTTCAGTGCTCATTACTTGAAAAGACCAGTTAGTCAGAAATTTCACGTCTCTCTTTCAGTAGGGACCCTTACACAGTAGTGTTTATCAAAAGTTACGATGCAGTGACACCAGAAGTACTTGCTATATCCTAAGAACAGACAACACCGTGTTCCCACGAGGGTAGTCAGATATGGGAAGAGGTTGCCCAGAGAGTTGGAGCTCTCTGTCCATGGATGGGTTGGGGACTTGACTGGACATAGCCCAGAGCATCCTGTCCGCATTAGGGGTTGGGTTAGGGACCTCCCTTCCACCCTGAACTGTTCTGTGACTGTGTACCAAAGGGACGATGTCTGGTGGCCTCTCTGTCAGGAGATTCAGTTGGTGTTTTTAAATAGTGACCACTGTGAGACATTGTCGGTGTATCTTGTGGGTCTGTGATTCTGACTTCTGTAATGAGTTCTGTCTTGATGTGGCAATGAGTTATCATATTCAGTATTCATCTCTCTTGTTGCTGTCACAGTTCTGTATGATTGTGTCATTTTTGTATTATTTGAAAGTATTTCTTCTACAAAATAAAATAATTTGCCATAAACTGAAATAGAGTTTTGTTATATGTCACAGCATACGACATTGTTTGAGTGCTTTGTATTTGCCACATTCAGGATGCTTTCGTAAAGAAATTTTGTGTTTCGAATGTGGGATTGAGTAAGTGCAAGGTCCTGCACCTGGGTTGGGGCAACCCCAAGCACAAATACAGGCTGGGCAATGAGTGGATTGAGACCAGCTCTGAAGAGAAGGACTTGGGAGTGGTGGTGGACAAGAAGCTCAGTGTGAGCTGGCAACGTGCGCTTGCAGCCCAGAAGGCCAACCCTGTCCTGGGCTGCATCCAGACAAGTGTGGCCAGAGGTCAAGGGTGGTGATTCTCCCCCTGTACTCTGCTCTCCTAAGGCCCCACTTGGAGTACTGTGTCCAGTTCTGGAGCCCCCAACACAAGAAAGACATGGACCAGTTAGAACAAGTCCAGAGGAGGCCACGAGGATGATCCGAGGGCTGGAGCACCTCTCCTATGAGGACAGGCTGAGACAGTTGGGGCTGTTCAGCCTGGAGAAGAGAAGGCTTTGGGGAGATCTTATAGCGGCCTTCCAGTACCTGAAGGGGCTACAGGAAGGCTGGGGAGGGACTTTTCCTAAAGGCAGGGAGAGACAGAACAAGGGGAAATGGGTTTAAGCTGAAAGAGGGGAGGTTTAGATTAGATATTAGGAAGAAATTCTTCACTGAGGGTGGTGAGACACTGGCCCAGGTTGCCCAGAGAAGTTGTGGATGCCCCCTCCCTGGAAGTGTTGAAGGCCAGGTTGGATGAGGCTTTGAGCAACCTGGTCTAGTGGAAGGTGTCCCTGCCATGGCAGGGGGGTTGGAACTAGATGATCTTAAAGGTCCCTTCCAACCCAAACCATTCTGTGATTCTATGAATAATGCTGTCATTTAGGTGAATGTAATAAATTTTCAAATAAAAGTAAGAGATGAAATCTGTGAGATCAGAGATCCTAGAGAGAGATAGGGTGAAGACCTGAAAGGGATGCAGAGTGTAAGGAATGGCAGGTATGTTCGCCCATGTGCTTACTGCCCACGATAAGTTGGCAGCTGTATCAAAGGCTCATAGTTGAATATCCCTGGAATTCGTCGGGAGCTCCACTTAGGAGTCATTGAACTGCCTTTTTTTCTAACAGGAGTTTGTACTTTGTAGATTCGTATTGGAAGTAAGCTGACATTATTAGTTCTGTAATATCTTAATGACTGATTCCAAGGTGGAAGCCACTCAGAAAGATACGAATTAACTTTCTTAGGCTGAACTTCACCACAGTTTACACAACTTGCATAGTTGCAGAAAGGCCGTTTCTCAGTTTCTCTCTGCAGCCCCGAGTTGCAGGAGCACAGGCAAAGTCATAGCTCTGACATATGACTCCTGTCTCTGTCCAGTATTCACAAGGCGTTGAGGGTGTGACCGAGTTTAAGGTTATTTTTAAACAGTCTGCTCGAAATAGTCATTTGGAATATCAGCCCTCTCTGTCTCACTGCCACCGGGATCTACAACAAAAGCTGTCATGGGTATGTCGGTATGGGTTTTCTGTTATAAGAATGAAGTCTTGCATGTATTTCTTGCTGCTGTTCTTGTTAGAACTGTGTAAGACTTTAAAGATAAAGTGCTGTATAAAAAGAGCAATTTTTTTTTTATGAATTAGATGAACAATGTATTTTATTTTGAGCAGATGTAAAACTGAAGTTTGAATTACATGTTTACGGAGGAGAGCACTTTACAGCTTTTTTTGAGTCTGGCCTCCTCTTTAACTGCAGAATCCTACATCTCTGAGAGGAGGAAAAATGTTTCTATAGAGAGACTTGAGAAACTGCAGACTAGCAAAAGCAAGAACAACTTCTTCCAAACCATCATGTGAAGAATATTCTCTCTTTCCTGAGACCACACAATTGACTGAGTATCACTGGAAGAAAATACTGAAGAGTAAAGTTGATTTGTTTTTGGAATCTGTAAATGTCAATTAAGTGATTCAGTAGCACTCTGGAAAATCTAAGTGTTCTTAGAGTTAAAAGCTTCTTAGGAGCTGTTTCTGGTTTCTTAAGATTTCTAATAATCTCTTAAGTTTGAACGTACATATCTAGGTTATAGAATCACGTTTCCTATAGAGATGTAGGTATTCTGTCCCTTCAGTGTGTTTGC